AGAGAACATGTCAATCAGGTTTCATTTTTGGCCATGATAGGGAGCTTCATGCTCTGAGGCTCTGAGTCAGCATTTGTACTGTCAGTTTTGCTTTCTTTGTTGGAAAGATGACCTCATAGCTCCAACCATCATGTTCCTCAGATGTTTCAAGTAGGAAGCAGACAGTGGTTGTCTTGCCTGAGGGTTTCAGCCCTGGGCAAGTTCACTATGGATTCAGTGAGACTGAGGAATGACCTTGGAACATTCTTGAGGTAAAAGGGTTTATAGCCAGGCTTTCTTCTCCTGGTAATAGGTTGAGCACTAGTATCATGTCTGCATCCAACAGTCTGCAGGTCTGTAATCCTCCATCTCTGCCTCCACCCAGAGCACTGGGCAGAGCTCATTATATAGTGACTCAGTCAATAATAGCTCATTGCCTACAGGTGTGGAAGTGGTAGCCTGGCAGTTATATCATCAAGCAGTTTAGGGTCAGGTGAGGATCCTGGCCATAGGAACTTCCATTTTCCCCACAGTGGTGTAGGGCAGAGAGGTTATCTCCAGGGTCTTTCTCAGAAACATCCCTTATATATCATAGGCCTATCTGGGCCACATTGCTGTACTATCCAAGGAAGGATGGAGAAATGTGAGTATTACATTTTTTAGGCTTCTACATGGGAAGCAGGCAAGAGAGGAGGCTGAGAAATACTTCTGGGTACCTAACAAAGTGGGAGAAAAAAATTAAGGGCTACTGAATATAAAAATTATTTATAAATCCTTGCATACTTGTGTTGGTTGGCTATTGTGGTTACCATCTGTCCCATACACATACACATGCATTCCCTTGAAGAAAATGTTTCCTAATGAGATAGCTCTGTTTATTTGTGTATGTGCATGATTGCTATGATGAAGAATTAGAAATAGCATCATAATTTGATATGTTAAGAATATTGTTTAGTTTAAACTAAAATCTAATAAGCTATTTTTACACTTTTAAATTTCATGTGAGAATGAAATACATTATATGCCCTTATGAAAATACATTCTATGTGTACAACCAATAACCTAGCAGTTAATTTATTACTGTGACTTTTTTATAAAACAGAGCAAGTTTTGAATATTATTCAAGAAGAAGGCTTTAAAATACTGATGCAAAGACAAATAGTATTAACAGAAGAAGAAGCAAAAACATTATGCAAGGAATATGAAAATGAAGATTATTTTGAAGATCTTATACAAAACATGACCCGGTAAGTAGATTTTGGGTTTAGAAAGCACAGTCTGATCTATTTTTGAATCATTTAAATCTTCCATTAACCCCACCCTGCTCAGGTGGTCAAACTTCTCAATTCTGTAAACACGTGTCAGTCTCATTCCCATCTTGATACTCTGCTCAGCTGTCTTCTCTGGTCCTCCTGAAACGTTGTTGAGCAATAGAAAGGTCCTCAGAGAAGTTGCTGGGCCCAGTCAGGTTGAAATTCAGTGTGTAACGTCATCAAGTTCAAGCAGAGATTTGTTGATCCTAGAGATCACTAGTCCCAGGAGAGGAATGAGATGTTTCCTAATGAGAAATCTGTCAGGTTTCTAGAAGAGTAAGTGAACTAGCAGCTGGGGCAGAATCCAGAGAGGGTATATAGACCAGTATAGGAACCAATCTGTCAGAGACTATGCCCTTCTCTTCCCTTCCTTTTTTGCTTCCATCC